TAATAGAATGTTTCACAAAATATGAAAACTTTATACACATACTAGAAAATAAAAAAATGCATTCACATATTTGTTCTTTATTAGTTTTCTATTGCTGTTTAACAGATTGTCACAAACTTAGCTTGTGGCTGAAAACAGCATATATTTGTTTCACAATTTCCATATGTCAGGATTGGTTAGTTGGGTCTTTTGCTGATGGTCTCAGCTGGGTGATAGTGGTGTTATCAAGGGCTGGGCTCTCATTTGAAACTTGCGGCCCTCTTTTAAATTCATTTAGCCTGTTAACTGAATTCAGGTCATTATGGTTATAGGACTAAGGTCTCTTTTTTTTGTTTACTGGCTGTAGGCTATGGGCTGGGCTCTCGTTTGAGAAACTTGGGCTCTCCTAAATTCATTTAGGCTGTTAGCTGAATTCAGGTCCTTATGGTTATAGGACTGAGGTCTCTTTTTTGGTTTATTGGCTGTGGGCCACAGGTTACTCTCAGTTTCTAGTGGCTACCCTCATATCCTAGTAGCCATTGGTCCCATCTCTGGTCTACTACAGTAGTTATAGGAGTGACTGTCCCATCATATTCATAGGTCCCACCCATACTGAAGGATGGGTCGATATATATAGGGGATTATACAGGGTGTGTACCACCATCGGGTAGAAGTCTTGGGAGCCATCTTAGAATTCTGCCTACAAAAGCTGTTCTAACAAAATCAATGATCATTTTGTATATTTCCTTTTAATGTCTTTTGCAAACTACATTTTTATTTATAATACAAATATTTCACCTTGAGGCTTTGGAAGTTTCATTACTATCACTTACAAATGTAGCGATACTTCTGATTACAAAATAAGGGATTTTATTTGATAATTCAAATATCTGTAGTGTAGTTTTAATTCTTAACATTTTAGTTCTGCTGGTTATCTTCATATAACTGAATAATAATTTTATATTGCTGTTTCTGGATTGGTCAGTTTTAGGCATTATTGATTTTTTGCAATAGCAGGTGATTTACTAGTTCACTTGTGTCATTCCTGCCCTCTAATCCCTTGATTTTGGGTGGTGAGACTATGGATTTCTCTAGGACAAAGTATTTTCCTCCTTGGTTATATTTTCTTGTGTGTATTGTAGCTTATGGTTTCCTTTTTATTTCATAATTTACCAACCTTTTTATCACATTCGCATTTCCTGGAAGTTTGTGATATCTCTGATTCTTCTCCCTGCCTCATTCTGCTTTTCATTGAATTTTTATGCCTTTCTTTTCTTGCATTCTTTATTGTTCTCCTAATAAGAGGAAGAAAAAATCTGGTTAGCATGCTGTCTTGAATTCAAAGTATCAAGATTGTGTTGGTTGCAGAAACTTTTATGAAGTTTTTGATTTTGGACATTTGGGAGATTTTAGTCAGTACTCTCAAGGGCTTGAAGGACCGTTGTTAAGAAAGATGGATTGAGGCCGAGTGCGGTGGCTCACGCCTATAATCCCAGCACTTTGGGAGGCCGAGGCAGGTCGATCACGAGGTCAAGAGATTGAGACCATCCTGGTCAACATGGTGAAACCCCGTCTCTACTAAAAATACAAAAATTAGCTGGGCTTGGTGGCGCAGCCTGTAGTCCCAGCTACTTGGGAGACGGAGGCAGGAGAATTGCTTGAACCCGGAAGGCGGAGGTTGCGGTGAGCCGAGATCGCGCCATTGCACTACAGCCTGGATAACAAGAGCGAAATTCCGTCTCAAAAAAGATGGATTGAATTGATTACATTTAGTTATTTTAGATTCACGTGTCAGGTTAATTCCATTGATCATAAAACCAGCAACCTGTACATAAGCAAGATGTTGATGGTTCTCTGGGATATAACTGAACATAAGCTATTAGGCTCCTCAGGGTCAGTGTACTGATTCATTTAATATTGCTAAAATTGGGAAAGGCACTAAAATTTTTGAAGTGAAGAAACTTAAAATAACAAACATGAAGTACAACATTTTGTTAAATTTTGGATTTTGAATAATGAGTTTAGTGCATAGAGGAGGGAAGGACATAAATAAAGGTACTCTCCAGGGATGTGAGAATTGCAGTGCTTACATCTAAAACAGAAACAAACCTCATATCTGTAGGATTGAGAATCCAGGGGTTGGCCTGGTTTTGTAAGTAAGTTTTATTGGAACACACTGTGCCAATTCATACACAAATTATTTATGGCTGTTTTCCTGCTACAAAGGGAAGAGCTGAATAGTTGTGACAGAGACAATATGACTTGCAAAGGCTAAAGTGGTTACTATCTGGCCCTTTTCAGAAAAAGTTTGCTGATCCGGGACCTAATTGATGAATGCTTTTAAGAGCTTGATTAAAGATAAGTTTTGTGATGGAGCAGCCATCTCAGTTTAGATTCCTTAATTCAAATCAGAAATTGATTTGACTGAAAAGTCTTCACATTAAAAATATGCATTTGCTGTGGTGCCTACAATTTAAAATTTTGCAAGTTTAAGAAACATTCTTAAATGTACCTGATGGAAGTTGAAACATGAAGAATGAATTAATTAGACTGAAAACCAAGGCTCTTGTTTAGTATATCTTAATTGAAATCAAGTATTGAGTTGCCAAAGGAAAGGACAGGTGAGGACTGGTCATTTATTTCAATCCCCGAGGTCAGATGAGCATAGAGAGTTTGCACACAAGTAAAGGGTATGGTCATTTGACATTAGATAATATTAGAACATGGCATATGTGGCGAATGAACTTTAGGAAGCAGAGTTCAGAGTGAGTAAAGCACAGCAGGGACCAGTAGCCCTAGAAAAGGTAGAATATGATGGAACAAACTAACTGGGATCAACAGCCACTTAAGTCTTTGGGAAACATGGCAGCAGGGAGCCAGCTCCCAAGTAGACTCGTAAGATGGAAACCTATAGAGAACACTGGGTAGCAGGAGAGCCCAAGCCGAGTGTGTAGCCATGGTCTTCTCACCCAAGCATAGAGTTGGGAGCCAGCAGGCAAAGGAAAAGAAAGGTCCCAGAATTAGCTTTCATTCTTTTTCAGCATTTTTCAGTGTAAAACCATGATTTGTTTTCTGTCCTGGATTAGATTTTGAGAATATGAAGAGAATAACATTCCCAATTCTTGGAGGCAAGTTAACATATCTGATTAGAATGAGAATTGGAATGAAACTTGGTAGTTACCAGTAGCAGTGTGCAGTATTAATAAATTATCAGTTGGATAATGAAGGTAGATTATTCAATATTTTTTGTGTACCAGACATTGTCTTGTAAAGAAGTTAGATATAGTCTCTATGTACATTTTTTAAAGAAGTTCATTAAAAGCTTCTAATGGGCCAGCATCATCATCATCATTCTTTTTCCAAAGTACTAATTGTTAGTTTAGTGTCATTCATAAAATTTTTAACACATGATCTTTGATGGAGTTCCTTGGAAGACAGCTACGCTCAACACTCTACCACCAGCACTATCAGGTGGAGGTCTTTGGAGGATTAAGTTTGATGCTTGGGATTGAGCAGTAGTGGACTGTATAAACACCTAAATTTTGGACGAAGTTACTTGGAAACTACACGATGACAAAGTGCTTCCGAAGTCATGTGCTAGGTTCACATTAGTTCAGTAAATGTTGAATAAACTTACACTCCAACCGATTTAAAAAGAACCATGAAACAGCTTAATTAACAAAATGAAACACAATAGAAAACAGTTTATTTTTGTATACAACGAAACTAGTTAAATATAGCAGAGAAATAGATGTCAGTAGACATTAGAAATGTGTGTTCAGATTAGTAGAATAAACATATCAGCAAGATCTCTAGAAGCCAACGAAAGAAAGCAGGAAACATGTTAAATCATACATCTTTGACAAAAAGTAAGCACTAACTAACTGAATCACTCTCTCATTTCTGAATTTAAGTAGACTATTTCTTTAATAGGGTCAGTAAAAGACACTGTTCTAGGAGAAATTTTTATCAACCTTCTTTAAAATTGAGGAATTCGTATTAAATTTTAGTAAGGGCATTCAGTGAAGAAGAATTAGATGAAATAATGTTTTCTGATTATCATATTTAACAAGTTCCATTTTGGAGACTCTAGAGAAATAATTAATTGGAAGCATATGTATGCTGACCCTTGAAAAACTGGAGGTTTAGGGGCATGAACCCCCTGGGTAGTTGAAAATCATATAACTTTTGACTCTTTCCCAAATAATAATAGACTACTGTTGACCAGAAACCTTACCAATAGCATAAACAGTTAATTAACACATATTTTGTATATGTATTGTATACTGTGTTAAAGTCAGAGAAAAGAAAATGGTATTAAGAAAATTATGAGTAAGAGGAAGTATATTTATTGATTAAGTAGAAGTAGGTCATCATAAAGATCTTTACCCTCATTGTTTTCATGTTGAGTAGCTGAGGAAGGGGGAGAGGAGTGATTGGTCTTGCTGTCTCAGGGGTGGCAGAGACAGAAGAGGTGGAGGAGGTAGAAGGGCAGGCAGGAGAGGCAGACACACTCAGTGTAACTTCACAGAAATCATAATTTCTGTCTGACTTTTTTGCTTTTTTATTTCTCTAAAAATGTTTCTATACCATGGTACCAATCCTTCCATTGTTGGCTTTAATTTCAGTGCTTGTGCCATAGGAGGGTTTGTGTTCTAAAAATAAATCAAAAGCAGTCTTGAATAATTGTAACCCTTCTGCTAGATTGTCTAAAGTAGATTTATTTTCTGGCACTGCTTCTTCTGCTTCTTCCTGACCATCTGGCACTGGTTTGGAAGCACTCTTGTCCATCAAGTTGTCTTCTGTTAATTCCTTTGATGTGATATGTTAGCTCTTGAATTTCTCCAAGATTCATATCCTAAAATCCTTCACCTCCCTCCAGCTTTTTTGTTTTTGCTGTATCCACAATTTCATGATTTCCTTGATTGGCTCTATTATAAATCCTATGAAGTCATGGACAACATCTGGACAATGTTTTGCCCAGCAGAAATTTATTGCCTTGTGCTTCGTGGTTTTCACAGCTTTTTGTGTGTGTGTGGCAATGGTGGCATCTTCACTGGTGTAATACTTCCAGACTCTATGATGTTCTATTAGGGTTCTCTTCCACAGCATTGACAATCCTTTTTATAGAGTACAGTATATAATGAGCCTCAAAGATCCTTATGACCCCCTGATCTAGAGGCTGAATTAGAAATGTCTTGTTTGGGGGCACGTAGACTACTTTGATGCCTTCATTGTTGAACTTTTGGAGCTCTGGGTGGTCAGGGGCATTGTCCAGTATGAAAAGAATTTTAAAAGGCAGTTCCTTACTGGCAAGGTACTTCTTGACTTCAGGGACAAAGCATTGATGGAACCAGTCCAAAAAAAGTGTTCTCGCCCAGGCTTTCCTGCTGTACAACCAAAAGACTGGTAGCCAGTGCTTATCTTCCTATCAAGGCTCAGGTTAGCAGCCTTATAGAAAGGGCAGTCCGGATTATAAACCTGACTGCATTTGCACAAACAGTAGAGTTAGCCTATCCCTTCCTGCCTTAAATCCTGGTGATTGCCTCTCTTCTTTAACAAAAATGGTTCTCTCTCTCTCTCTCTCTCTCTCTCTCTCTCTCTCTCTCTCTCTGTGTGTGTGTGTGTGTGTGTGTGTGTGTGTGTGTGTGTGTGTGTTTCCAGAATAGGGTACTTTCATCTGCAAAAATCTGTTCAAGGAGATACCCATTTTCCTCAACGACATTCTTAAATTCTTTTTTTTTTTTTTTTTTTTTTTTTGAGATGGAGTCTTGCTCTATAGCCCAGGTTGGAGTGCAGTGGTGCAGTCTTGGCTCACTGCAACCTCTGCCTCCCAGGTCCTGGTTCAAGCAATTCTCATGCCTCAGCCTCCTGAGTAGCTAGAATTACAGGCCCAGCTAATTTTTGCACTTTTAGTAGAGGTTTCACCATGCTGGCCAGGCTGGTAATGAATTCTTGACTTTGTGATCTGCCGGCCTCCACCTCCCAAAGTGCTGGGATTACAGGTGTGAGCCACCATGCCCAGCCAAATTCTTAATGATGTCTGGGAAATTGCCTGTTCCCTCTTGGTTGGCAGAAGCTGCTTCTCCTGTTTTCTTCTCTCTCTTTCTCTGTCTTTTCTTTCTCTCCTTCCTTTCTTTACTTTCTCTGTTTCTCTCTGTCTTTCTCTATCTCTCCCTCTCTCTTTCTCTCTTTCTTTTGATAGGGGTTTCACTCTGTCACCCAGGCTGGAGTGCAGTGGCACAATCATAGCTCACTGCCATCTCTGCCTCCTGGGTTCAAGTGATCCTCACACCTTAGCCTGTAGCTGGGACTACAGGCACTGGCCAGCATGCCAGCTAATATTTTTTCTATGTTTTAGAGAAATGCGGTCTCACCATGTTGCCCAGGCTAGTTTTGAACTCCTGGAATCAAGTGATCCTCCTGCCTTGGCCTCCCAAACTACTGGGATTATAGGCACGAGCCACCATACCTGACCTTCTCCTGTTATCTTAAAATGATCAAGCAATCCTTGCTGGCATTAAATTCTCCAGCTTTAGACCTTTCATCTCCCTTTTGCTTTAAGGTATCATATGATGACTTAGCTTTTTCTCTAATGATATTAGAGTCTGTACATATGCCTTTCTTATAACAATTCTGTACCCACACAGAGGCTGCATTTTCAATACAAAGTAGAAAGGTATTTCAGAAAAAGTTGGAGGTGTTTCACCTTCTGGGGTAGCTGCAGTGACAGCTTCATGAATTTCCTTTTCTTTTTTGACAATGGTCCTTATGCTGGATTCATTTATCTTGAAAAGGTGGACAACTGCTGCTGAAGACCTCAACCTACTGTACATATCAAGCAATTCAGCACTTTTCTTGTCGTGACTTTTCTCTGCTTCTTGAAATCACCTTCAGCATCACTAGTGCCACTTCACATGGGTCTGTGGTGGCATTCAAGGTTTATGTTACTGCACTAAACACAATGAAAAATTCTCAAGAACTGCAAGAGATCATTTTTTTACTGTGATATTCAGTTTGCTAGAGAGAGGAACTGCTCATGCAGAAATGGTAATATCACATGGCATTTTAAGTGGATGCTCACACTTGGACTCCCTGCAAAGCACCAGAAGGTGGCTATAAAATTATTATACTAGAAGTTAGTTTTTTGCAGTTATGATTAATACCACATCTTTATGTTTCTCTTTCCTGTGAATGGCGCTATGTATGTTATAGTTGTAAATGATAAACTAAACTAGTATCTACATAAATTTTATACATTCATGACACACACACAAAGTCGAGTGTGGTGGTCTGTGCCTACAGCCCCAACTACTTGGAAGGTTGAGGTAGGAGGATCAGTTGAGCCTGGGAGATCAAGGCTGCTGTGAGCTGTGCTTGTGCCACAGTAGCACTCCAGCCTGGGTGACAAAGCGAGACCCTGTCTAAAAAAAAAAGTTCTTAGTACGTGATGGGATCCTAATCCTTGTCAACCGTTATGAACAGATGGGTGCCTTTATGGGAACTTAATGGGGAAGCATGTTTGCACTTCTACCAGGATTAATTTCCACTTGGGCAGCAGTTAGTCTTTGGTTAAACTTTTTTGTTGTTGTTTTTTGAGACAAAGCCTCGTTCTGTCACCCATGCTGGAGTGCGGTGGCGTAGGCTCACTGAAACCTCCATCTCCCAAGTTCAAGCAATTCTTGTGCTTCAGCTTCCTAATTAACTGGGATTACAGATGTGTACCCCCACACCTGGCTAATTTTTATATTTTTAGTAGAGATGGGGTTTCGCCATGTTGGCCACACTGGTCTCAAACTCCTGGCCTCAATTGATCCACCTGCTTTGGCCTCCCAAAGTGCTGGGATCACAAGTGGAACCCACTGTGCCTGACCTTAAACTCTTATTAAATTAAATTGTGTTAAAGGAACTTAGGTCCTTTGTCTCTTCTTGTCAGTCAGCATCACCCTGTGACAAGAAGAGACAAAGGACGTAAGTTCCTTTAATGCAATTTAACTTAATAAGAGTTTACCTGTAGGGTTATTTAATACTTGACTAAAAATCAAGTACGTATTAGTTAAATAACCCTACAAGTAAACATTAGATTGCAGCAATGAATGCCTCAAAAGTATTATAAATGATAGCACAAGAGGTATTATTGATCTGGTTGGGGAGGTTGGGAAGCCGTTCCTCATTAGGTGATGCTTTAAGATGGATGGGTATGTATTAACTAGTGGAAAGACCCTGGTAGAGAGTATTCCAAATAGAGGAAACAAGCCTTATTTTAAAGGCCCTGTGGCAGTGAACTGAAAAAAGACCACTGTGTGTCTGGAATAGAAGAGTGGAACAATGGTGTGAGATGAGGCGGGAAAGGTAGACAGGAGTTAGGATGGACAGGGCTTTAAATACAAAGATTTTTCGTTTTTATCCAAAGAGTATGAAGTCATTGACCATTTTAAGGGGGATGCGTAGTAGGAGTGGGTGAGTGTCAGTTACCTGATCACATTAGTTTCTGAAAAGATAGCTGTATTTGAAGTGAATTAATGCAGGAACAGAAAACTAAATGTTGCATGTTCTCACAAGTGAGAGTTAGACATTGGGTACTCATGGACATAAAGATGACAACAGTAGTTATTGGGGTCTGCTAGAGGAGGGAGGGAGGAGGGGGTTCAAAAACTGTTGGGCACTAAGCTTAGTACCTGTGTGATGGGATCTTTTTGTACCACAAACCTCAGCATCACAAAATATACCCAGTAACAAACCTGCACATGTACCCCTGAAATCCAAAATAGAAGTTGGAAATGGGGAAGATAGCTGTAAACATGGTAGAGAGAACATACCACATTTTTTTAGATGTTCTTCAGGTGAGAGATTAAATTGGACTGTGGTCATGGTATGGTGGTGGTTAGAATTCTAAAATATGAGTTAGTAAAAAGTGGGAGAGGAGACAAATATGGGGAAAACTGGGCAGAATTCAGAGATAAAAAGGACAAAAATGAATAAAATTGAATGTTGTAAGGGGTGCTGGAGTAAAAGCTCTGAAGGATTCCCTAAGTTTGTTGTTAATTAACCCAGAAATTCTGTTTGAATTGCATGTAAAATCTGTTGAAGTTGTTTCTGCAGTGTTCTGATGGCCAAAGTTTAGTTTCCAGACTTCTAATATCTTACGATATTATACTTAAAAATCAGCATTTATGCGTACAATAGAACTTTTAATCAGTATTCATTTAAGTTTAGTTGTCTGTTGCCTGATACCTTCACATTGAAGTAGTATTCTTCCCCTTTGCTTATATGAGAAATTTCAAAACAAAGATTTGGAGGTAGGCCAGTTGCTGTGGCTCATGCTTATAATACAGCACTTTCAGAGGCGAAAGTAGGCAGATCGCTTGAGATCAGGAGTTCAAGACCAACCAGGCAACCTGATCAAACCCCACCTCTACAAAACATAAAAAAAATTAGCCTGTGTGGAAGCATGCACGTGTAGTCGTCCCAGCTACTTGGAAGGCTGAGGTGGGAGGATCATTTGAACCCAAGAGGTACAGCCTTTCAGTGAGCCATGATCGTGCCCCCGAACTCCAGCCTGGATGGCACAGTGAGACCCTGTCTCAAAAAAACAAAAATTAAAAAAAGATTTGGGAATGGGGTGGGATTCCTGTTAAACAGTAGAGCCCTTGTTTTGTTTGTTTGTTTGTTTTGAGACAGTCTCCCTCTGGAGGCTACCAGGCTGGAGTACAGTGGCATCATCTCAGCTCACTGCAGCTTCTGCCTCCTGGGTTCAAGCAATCCTTCTGCCTCAGCCTCCCAAGTAGCTGGGATTACAGGTGCCTGCTACCACACCAAGCTAATTTTTTGTGTTTTTAGTAGCAGCGGGGTTTCACCATGTTGGCCAGGCTGGTCTTGAAATCCTGATCTTAGGTGATGATCCACCTGCCTAGGCGTTCCAAAGCACTGGGATTACAGGCACTAGCCACTATGCCTGGCCAGAGCCCTTGATTTTTTAAAACAGTTTTATTAAGACACATAGCATAAAACTAGTCAACATCAAGTATACAATTC